CAGGACTAAACCATGGGACTAAAGGACTAAACCAGGACTCAGGACTAAACCAGGACTAAACCAGGACTCAGAAGGATCAGAACAGAACTAACCCAAGACTATAAACCAGACTACAAAAAAAATCTAAATTAAAACTAAACAAGGTTGAGAAAAAAAAGACCAAACCAGGACTAAATCCAGACTAAACCTGGACTAGACCAAGAGCAAATCAAGACTACACCAGAACTAAACCAAGACTTAACCTGGACCAAAACCAGGACTAAATCAGGACCAAACCTGGACTAATGTAGGACCAAAGCAGGACTAAACCAGGACCAAACTCGGGCTAAACTATCACCAAACCCGGACTAAACTAGGATTAAACCAGGATTAAACTAGGACCGAACCTGGACTAAAGTAGGATCAAATCGAGACTAAACTAGGACCAAACCAAAACTAAACCAGGACCAAACCCAGACTAAACTAGAGCCAAACCTGGACAAATCTAGGACCAAAGTCGGACTAAAGTAGAACCAACCTCGGACTAAACCAGGACCAAACCTGAACTAAACTAGGAACAAACCAGGACTAAAGTAGGACCAAAGCAGGACTTAACTAGGACCAAAAAACAAGGACCAAATCTAGACTAAACCTGGACGAGACCAGGACTAAGCCAAGAGCAAATCAAGACTACACCAGAACTAAACCAAGACTTAACCTGGACCAAAACCAGGACTAAATCAGGACCAAACCTGGACTAATGTAGGACCAAAGCAGGACTAAACCAGGACCAAACTCGGGCTAAACTATCACCAAACCCAGACTAAACTAGGATTAAACCAGGATTAAACTAGGACCGAACCTGGACTAAAGTAGGAACAAACCCGGACTAAACCAGGACTAAAGTAGAACCAACCTCGGACTAAATCAGGACCAAACCTGAACTAAACTAGGAACCAAACCCGGACTAAACCAGGACTAAAGTAGGACCAAAGCAGGACTTAACTAGGACCAAAAAACAAGGACCAAATCTAGACTAAGCCAAGAGCAAATCAAGACTACACCAGAACTAAACCAAGACTTAACCTGGACCTAAACCAGGACTATATCAGAAGTAAACTAGGACTAAACCTGGACTAAAGTAGGAACCAACCTAGGGCTAAACCGGACTAAATCAGGACCAAACCAGATCTAAACCAACACCAAACCAGGACTAAACCGAGACTAAACCCGAGACTAAACCAGAACTAAACCAGATGGGGTCGCCTCTCCACAGATCTGACCTGAACGTAGATAGATTTAATGCCACACTGTGAAACATTCCAGACAAAACAACAACATTTCGATGAAGAAAAGCGTTTGACGAATCCTCCACCAGAAAATTCACACAAGTAAAGTACAAATATCTAAAAGCTGTACTTCAGAATTGTACTTTTACTTTAGTACTTTGTTACTTCATTGTTTCGTGGAGATCAGAAGAGAATTGTTCTAAAGTTTTAACCAAACGTGTGTCAAAAGTTGAGTCGACTCTTAACAAAAGCCCGTAAATACCACAGACGGTCCCGGGAGAGAGAGGAAGGGTAGACCCGGTTTAGACCCGGTCCAGGTCCAGACCTCGGTCCTGGTTTGGTCCCGGAGGTCGCCGTCTCATTGTCGCGGCGTCGTGGAGCCTGTCAATCAAACGTCACCCGGACCTTTTAAGACGAACAAAGACACGCTGACTTCAAATGTCAGAAAAGAAAAGGATAAAGACACAGAGACACAGACACGGAGCGGACGGTAACTATGGAGATCTGAAGTACTTTTAAAGCTGCACTGCGGAAAACTCGAGTGTCATTCGTTCAGTCGTTTTTCAAAATACAACCAAAAAGAAGAAAACGAAAAAACAACAATTTTCTTCATTATTTGTCTCCAAAACCAAAATGAAAAAAAAAACAGATAATTTGTTTTGTTTTTTCTAAAAAACTAAAACAGGACTGAACCAGACTAAACAACTAAACCAGGACTAAACAAGACTAAACAGGACTAAGACTAAGACTAAACAGGTCTAAATCAAACTAAACAGGATTAAACAGGACTAAACCAGGACTAAAACAGGACTAACCTAAACAAGACTAAACAAGACTAAACAAAGACTACCAGGACTAAAACAGGACTAAACCAGGACTAAACAAGAAAACCAGGACCAGGACTAAACAGAAGGACTAAACCAAGACTAAACAAGGACTAAAACAGGACTAAACCAAGACTAAACAAAGACTAAACCAGGACTAAAACAGGACTAAACCAGGACTAAACAAAGACTAAATCAAGACTAAAACAGGACTAAACCAGGACTAAACAAAGACTAAACCAGGACTAAACCAGGACTAAACAAAGACTAAACCAGGTCTAAATCAAAACTAAACCAGGATTAAAACAGTACTAAACCAGGATTAAATCAAGACTAAACCAGGACTAAAACAGGACTAAACCAGGACTAAACAAAGACTAAACCAGGTCTAAATCAAAACTAAACCAGGACTAAAACAGGACTAAACCAGGACTAAACCAGGTCTAAATCGAGACTAAGCCAGGACTAAACCAGGTCTAAATCAAGTCTAAATCAAGACTAAACCAGGACTAAACCAGGACTGAACCAGGACTGAGTGTCAGGACGGACCCAGAGATGTGCCCACATAGACCAGACCGGGACTGAGACCAGGACCAGACCAGGACCAGACCGAGACTGAGATGGGTTTAGTCCTGGTTTACTCCTGGTTCAGTCCTGGTTCAGTCCTAAAAAAAACCAAATCATTATCCATTTTCTCATTTTGGTTTTGGAGACAAATATTGAAGAAAATCGTAGTTTTTTTTTTTTTTTCATTTCTTATTTTTGGTTTTATTTTGAAAAACTAATGAACGAACGACACACGGATTGTGGAACTTTTCTGGTGGAGGTTCCGTCAAAATGTTTGTCGCCATGGAGATGTCATTGATGTTTTCAGAAAGCCTGTTTTTGTTTTTCTCGGTATTTTTGAGCTTTAAATCCGCCTGTAATTGAATAAATGTAAAGTCGAGCTGTTTAAAGTCACACTGCGGAACATTCCAGACAGAGCAGTGACGTATCCATGGAAACAACAAGCAGGAAAGTTACACAATGCAGCTTTAAACAGCGAATTCCACCATGAGAATTCTTTATTTAAACTATAATCTACAATCAAATTAAATTAAATATTTCTTGATTTTTTATTTATTTTTTTTTATGTTATGTCGTCTCAGAATTGTCAATAAATAAATAATGTTGTTAATCGCCACGGCAACAGCAGCAGCATCTCTAAATCTAAATCTAAATCTGTCCCTCCAGCGTTCTCCCGCGGGACCACATTAGAGCGATTAGTCCGGTTTAGATCCTGGTCTGAGCCCGGTCTTCGGAGGTCTGGGTCCAGGTCTGAGCCCAAATACGTTTAGGAGGTTGTTTTTTTTTTTGTTTTGTCGGCGCCGAGATAAAAGCCACGGACAAAAGCAGCGCCGCGTTCAGGGTCCGCTGGGAAATTCTAGTATTGATGAAAGATAATGTATTCTGCTGGTGCTTTAAAGGAGGTGAACAGTGCGGAACCTTTTAAAAAATGTTATTATTATTTTTCAAATTTTTATAACACACAGAACCAACAGAACAAAACAATTTAAAAATAAAAAATAAAATAAAATAAAAATCTGGACATGCTTGGTGTTCTTAAAAAAATAAAAAAAAACCTAACCTAGACCTAAACCAAGAACTAATCCAGGACCAAACCAAGACTAAATCCAGACCAAACCTGGACTAGACAAGGACTAAGCCAAGAGCAAATCAAGACTACACCAGAACTAAACCAAGACTAAACCTGGACCAAAACCAGGACTAAAATGGGACCAAACCAGGAATAAATTAGGTTGAAACCAGGGCTAAACCAAGACAAAACCAGGATTTAACCAGAACTCAACTAGGACCAAACCAGGACCAAACCAGGGCTAAGCCAGGATCAAGCCAGGACTAAATCCAGACTAAACCCGGACTAGGTTAGGACTAAGCCAAGAGCAAATTAGGACTACACCAGAACTAAACCAAGACTTAACCTGGACCTAAACCAGGACTACACGAAGACTAGACCAGGACTAAACCAGGACTAGATCAGGACTCAACCAGGACTAGACCAGCACTAAACCAGGACTAAACAAAGACTAGACCGGGACTAAATCAGGACTCAACCACACCTAAGCCAGGACCAAACCAGGACTAAACCAGCACTAAACCAGGACTACACAAGGACTAGACTGGGATTAGATCAGGACTCAACCATGACTAAACCAGGACTACACAAGGACTAGACCAAGACTACACAAAGACTAGACCAGGACTAAATCAGGACTACACAAGGACTAAACCAGGACTACACAAGGACTAGACCAAGACTACACAAAGACTAGACCAGGACTAAATCAGGACTACACAAGGACTAAACCAGGACTACACAAGGACTAGACCAAGACTACACAAAGACTAGACCAGGACTAAATCAGGACTTCACAAGGACTAAACCAGGACTACACAAGGACTAAACCAGGACTACACAAGGACTAGACCAAGACTACACAAAGACTAGACCAGGACTAAATCAGGACTTCACAAGGACTAAACCAGGACTACACAAGGACTAGATCAGAATTAGACCAGGACTGTACCAGGTGGACTGTGACAGGACTAAACCAGGACTAGACCAGGACTAGACCAGGACTGATCCTTAAACCTTTTGACAGTGTTTTCTACTGAGCTGTAAAATTGAATCAATGTAAAATGTTCTTAATTTAACTCAATTTAATTTAGGTAGATCTTGTTTTTTTTTATTTTTTATGGAGAATTGTCATGTGGGCGGAGCCTTGTACAGACTCGTACAGCGAACCGTAAAGAGTCGTTGAACCGCTGTTGTGAATAATCTCGCACCCCTGTAGAATTTGTCCAAAATGGCCTCCACAAGCCGGACTCCAATCTGTCGTTAAAGAAGAAGGCGGAGCTCATCTTCTCAAACTTCTGCTCTCAAAGTTGAAGGACGCATTGCTATTTTTTTTTTTCAGATAATGTCGTCTTTAAATCCGCTTTTTTATCTAGGGTTCGTGCTCCTCTTGTCAAAGCTAAATTTCTGCGTTTTCGGACAAAATTTAACCGAGGAATTTGAAGAAAATGAGGAAGAGACGACCCTCACGACACCACGGGAACTGGAGCAAGAATCTTTGGAAAAACTCACGAAATCAGTCCGAGGATTTTGAAGATTTTGTCCAATCGAAAAGTGTAAAGTTTGTGGCTCTGGACGGCGCCGGCAAAGAGGAAACAGATTTTGAATTTAATATTTTTGAAGCGGACAAGCTGGAGTTCCCAAAGTTACAAGTCCAAAAAGCTGTTTACAAGGTATTTCACATCGTTTTAAAATATTTGCTGTGATCACTTTTGAGTTCATGATAAAGCCGCACTGTGTAACATTTCTGGTGGAGGGTTTGCCGTATGCTTGTCCCCACGGTGATAATTTTATGGCATGAAAAACGTATCTACTGCTGCCAGGTGAAAGTACAGGTTAGGTCTGTGGAAGAAAGGCAAAAAGGCGTCGTTTTCAAAGTACATTTTCAACAATAAAACACACTTCAAGGTTTTGTGTCTACGTCACAAAAGTACGTGACCTATCGTTTATGCCGCCGTATTGTATTTGTGGGCGATAAAATAAGAAGGACGCGTTGTGCGGTCCTCACTTTTGTCGAATCCCCCCCGGTCCTCACTTTACTTTTGGTGAATTCACTCCGGTCCTCATTTTCGTCGAATCCCGCCCGGTCTTTACTTTCGTCAAATCCGCCGCCTCACTTTCCGCGAGTCCGCCCCGGTCCTGACTTTCCGCGAGTCCGCCCCGGTCCTCACTTTCCGCGAATCCGCCGGTCACTTTCCGCCAATCCGCCCGGTCCTGACTTTGAATCCGCCCTCCTCACTTTCCGCGAGTCCGCCCGGTCTCAACTTTTGTTCCGCCCGGTCCTGACTTTCCGCGAATCCGCCCGGTCTCACTTTCCGCGAATCCGTCCGGTCCCTCACTTCCCGCCCCGGTCCTGACTTTCCGCGAGTCCGCCCCGGTCCTGACTTTCCGCGAGTGCGCCCCGGTCCTTCCCGTCCCGGTCCTACTTTCCGCGAGTCCCACTTTTCCGCGAATCCCGGCTTCCGCGAGTCCGCCCCGGTCCTGACTTTCCGCGAATCCGCCCCGGTCCTGACTTTCCGCGAATCCGCCCCGGTCCTGACTTTCCGCGAATCCGCCCCGGTCCTGACTTTCCGCGAATCCGCCCCGGTCCTCACTTTCCGCGAGTCTGCCCCGGTCCTCATTTTTGTCGAATACCCCCAGTCCTCACTTTCGGCAAATCCGTCCTGGTCCTCACTCTTTGTGAATCCGTCTCGGTCCTCACTTCACTTTTCTCAAATCCGTCCCGGTCCTCACTTCACTTTTCTCAAATCCGTCCCGGTCCTCACTTCACTTTTCTCAAATCCGTCCCGGTCCTCACTTTCCGCGAATCCGTCCCGGTCCTCACTTTTCACGAATGTGCCCCGGTCCTCATTTTTGTCGAATCCCCCAGTCCTCACTTCACTTTTCTCAAATCTGCCCCGGTCCTCACTTTCTTCGAATCCATCCCAGGCCTCACTTTACTTTAGGCGAATCCAGCCAGGTCCTCACTTTTGTTGAATCCGCCTCGGTTCTCACTTTCATCGGCACAGAATCCCGTCCCCCTCCCGGCCTATTTTACCAAGAATTGGACCATATTTTGGGAGACAAGCCCAGCGTTTCGGCTGCTGATGTCGTCGTGTCCTCCAATGCTCATGTGGGACACTTTTAGGGCGTTTAAAGTCACACAAAAAAAATCTGATTTCACAAAAAATCCGAACTGAGCATTAAACCCTGCAGCCTAAGAAGTCAGTAAAATGTAATTATGAAATGTTTTTGATATATTCAGACAGTAAATACTTACAAAAGTGTTTCTTTTGTTTGTAGGTGATGTTAAAGTCTGAGCAGAGAGAACCTGTTCCGGCCGACAGTGTGGAGGTGAACTGTGGCGAGGACGAAATCACAATCGACGTCAAACAGAACTTTTTAGGTAAATGAATGTCTCAGTTTTTTTCAATTACGGGTGTTTTTATTGACCAAAAATAACTCGAAAAAAACACTTTACTGTAGAACTTCCACCAAAAATGTTCCAAAACACACCTTTAGCTCATAAAAGACTTGATTCAAGACAAAATAAACCTTGTATATGTGTTAATTTAACTGTAGAACATCAATTATAAAGGCCAGTTTTTTTCTTCTCAACAGGAAATGGTCAGCAGATCCTCCCTCCTGACCTCACACTGGGACACTGCCCCCTGGTGGCCGTGACAGACGACGTTTTACACTTTAAATCCTCTTTGCAAAGCTGTGGGAGCACGATGACGGTATATTTACTCACGTTTTCTCGTTATTTATATTGTCTAAGTGTAATATTCATGTTATTTTTGTCCGTTAGCTGTCAGACGAGGCCCTGGTGTACAGTTTCTCGCTGTTGTACAAACCGTCTCCCATCGGAAACACGTTCATCCTGAAGACCAGTCCTGCGGAAGTCCTGGTCGAGTGTCGCTATCCCAGGTACAACCAAAGATATTTATGATTATTTATGATTAATGGTCATCACTGTTGGGCAAGTTACTTTAAAACTGTAATGTGTTGATTTATGACTTGTCATTTCAAAGTAATTCATTTCAATATTACTGTATTTAAAATGTAAGGCAATGTTACATTACTATTACTGCAATTTTACATTACTCTGACCAAAATAACTGTGAAGATGCTGAACTTTTGCGTCGTATATGGACTGAACCAGGACTAAACCAGGACTAAACCAGGACTAAACCAGGACTAAACAGGAAACTAGAAATTGAACCAGGACTAAACCAGGACTAAACCAGGACTAAACCAGGACTAAACCAGGACTAAACCAGGACTAAACCAGGACTGAAACCAGGACTAAACCAGAGCTGAACCAGGACTGAACCAGGACTGAACCAGGACTGAACCAGGACTGAACCAGGACTGAACCAGGACTAAACCAGGACTAAACTAGAAATTGAACCAGGACTGAACCAGGACTGAACCAGGACTGAACCAGGACTGAACCAGGACTGAACCAGAGCTGAACCAGGACCAAACCAAGACTAATCTTGGACTAGAACTTGGAATCGAGTACCGCCCCTGAGAGAACCCTGAGCCCGTGGAGCAGGGCGTCTGCAAGGCGCGGTCGGGCGTCAGCTGCTCTTCGCCCCATGGAGCGTGGAGTTCTGTGTCGGTCCTTTTGCTCGTGGTCACCTGACGGTCTGCGCGGGCGCATCTCCGGCGTTTCACCGCTGCTGATATCGCAGTGATTTTCGTGAAATTGTATGAAGAATTCTTAATTCAAGCAACATTCGGTTTGGTTTCTTATTTTATGTGCAGAAAGTTGTTGTTTTTCTTAAGTACATCAACATGTATTTTCAAATTTTAAGTACAAAAAGTCTTGTTCCACTGGCAGATCATTTCACTTGTCAAGTGAAATTTACTCAAATCATGGTCAAACTTTATTAATTCAAGTCATATTAACTTGGCTAGATTTTAAGCAAAAGATGTTCATTTTGTCTTCTTATATACTTTAACTTCTTGGGTTCTTTTTAAAGACAATGCAGTAAAGTGTGTTTACCTTGTTGACATGTTTCGGCTGCTAGCCATCTTCAGAACAGTTCTGAAGATGGCTTGCAGCTAGCAGCCGAAACATGTCAACAAGGTAAACACACTTTACTGCATTGGCTAGATTTTAGTTTTTGCAGTGTATGGGTCAGTGACTCAAGACTCGACTTGGACTTGCATGTATTTGACATGGGACTTCGACTTGGACTTGAGGTCAAAGACTTGAGACTTGCAAAACAATGACTTGGTCCCACCTCTGTTGTCTGTATTCTTGTCATTTTTCCTTTTTTCCTCCAGGAAGCAGATTGTGAACAGTGAAGACATGAGCCCCACCTGGTTCCCTGTGGCCGCCTACCAACTCTCAGACCAACAGATCCAGTTCTCCATGAGACTCATGACCGGTAAAATACTTTTTTACCACACCCTAACCTTAAAACTTACTCAAAAGAAAGAAGTACCACTGTAAATAATATTCATGTCGTATCATATCCTGACTGAGACTGAATATCAGACCTTTTAACCTGATCTCTGCTTTTATTTTTTTTCTTAATTTGTTATTGAAAACAAACCAGGAGATATCTGTAATCCTGCTCCCAGGCCTATCTAAACTTTTATATGTCATTTTAAATTACGAGTTTTTCCTAATCACAGCCATTAAGACTATTCCCCCTCGTTCAAAGTGCATTATCCAAAATATAATGTCCGATCTCTTTACCTTTTATGTGATCGTCTGGTCCGGTTGTGAGCCACAGGCGGAGCTTTAATCCAATCTGGCTCTCCTCAAATTAACTTTTCCATTTTTCTGTTTTGGTTTCAGAGGACTGGAGCTCGCCGAGGCCCTCTAGTGTTTACACGGTGAATGACGTCATGAACATGGAGGTGTCCGTGTTACGGGGCCGACACATCCCCGTCAGAGTGTTCGTGGAGCAGTGCGCGGCCACGGCGAAGACGAGTCCAGGTTCTGAACCCAGATACGAGTTTGTCAACAATTACGGGTGAGAAAATACTGGAAATGTGGACCAGGGTTTGGTCTTGGTTTAGTTCTGGTGGAGACTTGATTTGCTCTTGGCTTAGTCCTAGTCTAGTCCTGGTTTAGTATGGATTTGGTCCTGGTTTCGTCCTGGTTTGTTCCCAGTTTAGTCCTGGTTTAGGGTCCATATTAAGTCTTGGTTTAGTTCTGGTGTAGTCTTGATTTGTCCCTGGTTTAGTCCTAGTTTGGTCCTAGATTACTCCTGGTTTAGATCCATGTTTAGTCCTGGTGTAGTCTTGATTTGCTCTTGGCTTAGTTCTAATCCAGTCCTGGTTTAGGCCTGGTTTAGCCTTTGTTTGGTCCTAGATTAGTCCTAGTTTAGGTCCAGGTTAAGTCTTGGTTTAGTTCTGGAGTAGTCTTGATTTGCTCTTGGCTTAGTCCTAGTCTAATCCTGGTTTAGTATGGGTTTAGTCCTAGTTTGGTCCTGGATTGATCCTAGTTTGGTCCTAATTTAGGTGCAGGTTAGGTCTTGGTTTAGTTCTGGTGTAGTCTTGATTTGCTCTTGGCCTTAGTCCTAGTCCAGTCCTGGTTTGGTCCTGGTTTAGCCCTTGTTTGGTCTAGATTAGTCCAAGTTTAGGTCCATATTAAGTCTTGGTTTAGTGCAGATGTAGTTCTTGTCCTTGGCTTAGTCCTAGTCTAGTCCAGGTTTAATATGGATTTGGTTGTCCTGGTTTGGTCCTGGTTTAGTCCTGGTTTGATCCTAGTTTGGTCCTAATTTATGTGCACGTTTAGTCTTGGTTTAGTTCTGATGTAGTCTTGATTTGCTCTTGGCTTAGTCCTAGTCCAGTCCTGGTTTAGGTCCATATTAAGTCTAGGTTTAGTTCTGGTGTAACTCTGGTGTAGTTCTTGCCCTTGGCTTAGTCCTAGTCTAGTCCAGGTCTAATATGAATTTGGTTCTCCTGGTTTGGTCCTGATTTGGCCCTAGTTTAGTCCCGGTTGAGGTCCAGTTTAAGCTTTGGTTTAGTCCTAGTTTAGTCCAGGTTTAGTATGGATTTGGCCCTGATTGAGTCTTTTTCTCAACCTTGTTTAGTCTTGATTTAGAACTTTCGTATTCTGACTTTAGTCCTGGTTTAGTCCTTTAGTCCTGGTTTAGTCCTGGTTTAGTCCTGGTTTAGTCCTGGTTTAGTCCTGGTTTAGTCCTGGTTCAGTCCTGGTTTAGTCCTGGTTGTAACACAGTATTTCTCTCTGTTCTCCTGATGTTTGCAGATGTTTTATGGATTCCAAACTCACAGGAGCGAAGTCTTTTTTTCTGCAGAGAATCGAAGAGGAAAAACTGCACTTTATACTACAGACGTTCAGGTTTAGACAACAGCTCGGAAACTCTGTAAGTATACTACTACTACTACTACTGCTACTACTACTGCTAATACTGCTACTGCTACTACTACTACTGTTACTTGGTGTCATAGTACTTTGGACCGGTCTTGGTCTCGAGATCAGCCTCGAGATCTTGGTCTCGTCTCGACTTGACTGCGTTTGGACTTGGTCTTGTTTCGGTCTTGAAGGCACTCGGACTCGGTCTTGTCTCGGCCTCGATCGCGTTTGGTCTCGGCCTCGATCTCGTTTGGACTCGGTCTTGTCTCGGCCTCGAGATCGTTTGGACTCGGTCTTGTCTCGGCCCTGATCGCGTTTGGACTCGGTCTTCATCTCGGCCTCGATCTCGTTTGGACGTCTTGTCTCTCGATTCTTGACTCGGTCTTGTCTCGGCCTCGATTGCGTTTGGACTCGGTCTCTCGTCTCGGTCGTCTCGGGCCTCGATCTCGTTTGGACTCGGTCTTGTCTCGGCCTCGATCGCCTTTGGACTCGGTCTTGTCTCGGCCTCGATCGCCTTTGGACTCGGTCTTGTCTCGGCCTCGATCTCGTTTGGACTCGGTCTTGTCTCGGCCTCGATCGCGTTTGGTCTCGGCCTCGATCTCGTTTGGACTCGGTCTTGTCTCGGCCTCGATCTCGTTTGGACTCGGTCTTGTCTCGGCCTCGATCGTGTTTGGTCTCGGCCTCGATCGCGTTTGGACTCGGTCTTGTCTCGGCCTCGATCGCGTTTGGTCTCGGCCTCGATCTCGTTTGGACTCGGTCTTGTCTCGGCCTCGATCTCGTTTGGACTCGGTCTTGTCTCGGCCTCGATCGTGTTTGGTCTCGGCCTCGATCTCGTTTGGACTCGGTCTTGTCTCGGCCTCGATCTCGTTTGGACTCGGTCTTGTCTCGGCCTCGATCTCGTTTGGACTCGGTCTTGTCTCGGCCTTGATCGTGTTTGGTCTCGGCCTCGATTCTGTTTGGACTCGGTCTTGTCTCGGCCTCGATCTCGTTTGGACTCGGTCTTGTCTCGCCTCGATCTTGGTCTCGGCCTCGATCTCGTTTGGACTCGGTCTTGTCTCGGCCTCGATCTCGTTTGGACTCGGTCTCTCGGTCTTGTCTCGGCCTCGACCGCGTTTGGACTCGGTCTCGTCTCGGCCTCGATCGCGTTTGGACTCGGTCTCGTCTCGGCCTCGATCTCGTTTGGACTCGGTCTTGTCTCGGCCTCGATCTCGTTTGGACTCGGTCTCGTCTCGGCCTCGATCTCGTTTGGACTCGGTCTTGTCTTGGCCTCGATCTCGTTTGGACTCGGTCTTGTCTCGGTCTTGAAGGCAATTTATAAAAACATTGATATAAATGTGCCAAAATAACTCTAAAACACAAGTAAATGTTGAAAATGACAAAGATGGTCTCGATTTGGTCTCGATGGGTCCTCGTCTCGGTTTTGTCTCCGTCTCGACCCTCAGACGTATTGATCTTGTCCTAGTCTCGATTAGGGCAATCTTGACTACTACTACTACTACTACTACTAGTACTACTACTACTTTTCTAAACCAGTCTGAAAATACTTCTATAGTCAATACTAAGTTTCATTGAATACACAGAACTCAAGTTAAAAATAGTGCACACATACAAAAGTGAATATAGAATCCTGCATGGGTCCATTTTTGGAGACCCGCACCCACCCGCACAGAACAGCACCACAACCCGTCATTATATCAAAGTTAAATCTGGACCCGCCCGGACCCGTTAACATTCCACCCGTTACCCGCCCGTGTCCGAGATAAATCGCACACAAATTAAAAACATTCTAACTGAAGCGTCCATCAGGATATGAACACCAGGTGCAGGACTCTGGTGTGCGCTGTAATGTCCTTTTCTGAATAGAACAAAATAGAATTGCAAAATGTTTTAATGAATTTGGAAACTAAAACAATCAAAAAACTAAATATTTCCTTTTTAATTCCAGATGTACATTACGTGTAAACTCAAAGCCACGTCTGTGTCTGTGCCCATTGACTCCGAACACAAAGCCTGCTCCTTCTTAAACGAGGCCAACAGGTACATTATAAAAATACTAATACTGTACTTTTCTAGTAATGAGTCCAAATATTTCTCGTGTACTTTTTCTGTACTTTCTTAACAGGTGGGTGGCTTCAGAGGGAGATAATAACGTTTGTTCGTGTTGTGAAAGCAGCTGTGGAGGAAAAAGGAAAAGAAGAAGCCACAGAGAAGAGAGTTGTAAGAAATGTATAGAAATATTAAATTTATTCAGTCTTCAATGGCCTTTTTTTAATCATTCGTTAATGTTTTCTAATATTTTGTGATTTATTTTTATTTTTTTTTGGTTCAGCTTTGCAATGGGAAGAAACGGCTGTTCTGGGTCCAATCATTTTTAAAACGAGGGATGACGACTTTTCGGACTTGAAATCTGACGTTACTGAAGCTCGTAAGAACATTTTCAGATTTTAAGATTTCAAAATTTCAACAAAATTTAATCTCTATCTTTTTTTTTCTTTATATTCTAGCCCCGTCTGTGTCTCTGGTCGTGCTTTGTGGAGCAGGAGTGGTTCTGTCCGTTATTTTGTTGTTGTTATTAGTGGCGATTACTGTCAACAAAATGCACAAATCTCACCTGTACCATGTCTATGTTTAAAAATACTAAATTAAAAGTATATTTTTGAAGTATTTTGTGTATTTTCTTGGTCAGATCAGTCCATTACTCTTCTGTGGATAATATTGAGTCCTGAGGTTAAAGGGGGTTAAGTTGTATTGAACAACATTGACTTTTGACACTGAAGTGATTAAGAGCACAAGAGTGAATATACTACAACTGCTACTACTACTACTACTACTACAACTGCTACTACTACTACTACTGAGTACTACTGATACTGCTGCTACTGCTACTACTACTATGAGTACTAATGCAACTACTAGTACTACTGATACTGCTAATACTACAACTACTACTTGTACTTTCTGAGTTGTACTACTGCTACTTCTATTACTGCTGCTACCACTACTCCTACTACGACTTGTACTACGACTACTACTGCTGCTACTTGTACTACTGCTATTACTTTTACTACTAATACTACTACTTTTACTACTACTGCTGCTACTTGTACTACTACTACTGCTACTTGTACTATTACTACTGCTACTTGTACTATTACTACTACTACTTGTACTACTACTACTACTGCTGCTACTTGCTACTGTACTACTACTGCTACTTGTACTACTACTACTACTGCTACTTGTACTACTACTACTACTGCTACTTGCGCTACTACTACTACTACTGCTACTTGTACTACTACTACTGCTTGCTACTACTTGTACTACTACTACTACTACTACTGCTACTTGTACTACTACTACTACTGTTACTTGTACTACTGCTACTTGTATTACTACTACTGCTGCTACTTGTACTACTACTACTGCTGCTACTTGTACTACTACTACTACTGCTACTTGTACTACTACTACTGCTACTTGTACTACTACTGCTGCTACTTGTACTACTACTACTACTGCTACTTGACTACTACTGCTACTTGTACTACTACTACTGCTACTTGTACTACTACTACTACTGCTACTTGTACTACTACTACTACTGCTACTTGTACTACTACTACTACTACTACTTGCTACTACTACTACTACTGCTACTTGTACTACTACTACTGCTACTACTACTTGTACTACTGTACTACTACTGCTACTTGTACTACTACTACTGCTGCTACTTGTACTACTACTACTGCTGCTACTTGCATTACTACTACTACTGCTACTACTGGTACTTACTACTACTACTACTTGTACTACTACTACTGCTACTTGTACTACTACTACTGCTACTTGTACTACTACTACTACTGCTACTTGTACTACTACTGCTGCTACTTGTACTACTACTACTGTACTTGTACTACTACTACTTGTACTACTACTACTGCTACTTGTACTACTACTACTACTGCTACTTGTACTACTACTACTACTGCTACTTGTACTACTACTACTGCTACTTGTACTACTACTACTACTGCTACTTGCTACTACTACTGCTACTACTACTTGTACTACTACTACTACTACTACTACTACTAGTTGCAGTAGTCTTTTTGTTTCCGTGTATTTCCTTTCCTCCTCTCGTAGCCTGTTCCTGTTGTACAAGACGGATATTTCTAATTAAAGCGCTCGTTAAGGTGGACCTGGGTTTATTGTGGTCATTTGTGGAGAGGAGAGGCTCATAATAGTGTTTGTCTTTGAGGGGCCCGCTCTTAAAATTTACGGCTACAGGAAATGCCAACAAAGCAATAAGGAAACACACAGGAGGCTAGTGAAAAGCTAATAATGCTAGTGCGCGATATGGACGTTACAATATTGGTCACTGTGGCAGAATTTCCCATTGAGTCTAAACGGGACGATTAGTTTAAACTCGCTTTCAGCCGCGTTTCCTCGTCAAAAAAACAGACCTGGAGTTGGGTTTCGTTTCATTCGCGCGTGCCGGAAGCGTTCTCAAAAACACCTTGTGATGTCATCAGGTGGTGATCCAGCCCCGTTGACCAACCACAGAATCAATCAGATAAATATTTACACAAGTACTTCATTTTGTATTGACTGTAGTTGTAGTTGTTGTAGTTATAGTTGTAGTAATAGTTGTAGTAGTAGTTGTAGTTGTTGTAGTAGTTGTAGTTGTTGTAGTAGTAGTTGTAGTAGGTGTTGTAGTTGTAGTAGTAGTAGTTATAGTAGTAATAGTAGTTGTAGTAGTTGTAGTAGTAGTTAGTAGTAGTAGTAGTAGTAGTTGTTGTAGTAGGTTGTAGTAGTAGTAGTAGTAGTAGTAGTAGTTGTTGTAGTAGGTGTTGTAGTAGTAGTTGTAGTAATTGTAGTAGTAGTTAGTTTGTAGTAGGTGTTGTAGTAGTAGTTGTAGTAACTGTATAGTAGTAGTTGTAGTAGTAGTAGTAGTAGTAGTAGTAGTAGTAGTTGTAGTAGTAGTAGAAGGTGTTGTAGTTGTAGTAGTAGTAGTAAATGTAGTTGTGGTAATAGTTGTTGTAGTAGTTATTGTAGTAATAGTAGTAGTAGTAGTAGTAGTAGTAGTAGTAGTAACAGAAGTAGTAGCAGTACTACAGTACTAGTATCAGTAGCGGTAGCAGTAGTAGCAGTAGTAGTAGTAGTAGTAGTAGTAGTAGTAGTAGCAGTAGTACTTGTAGTAGAAGTATTAGTAGTAGTAGTAGTTGCATATTATTTTTCCAGTATTTTCTGTAGCCACAAAGATAAAACATTTTACCCATAATCCCCCTCTCCTCTCTTCTCCTCTCTTCTCCTCTCCCTCCTTCTCTTTCTCTCTCACTTCCTTCTTGTCGTCCTTCTTGTCGTCTTCGTTCGTTCTTTCTCTCCGTATTATGTCATTGATCTCGTTTAACAGTAATACCAGCCCTTCCCAATATGGCCGCCTCTGCCGCCGCCGCCTCTCACCCCGGACGTTTATATGAGAGAATCCGCCTCCGCCGCTCGGCCAATCGGATTACGGCGCGGCCCCATACATCACTGACACGCGCTTTATTAAACAGAGATGATGAGGTTACCGCGGCGCCGGCGAATCCACGGGCCTCGCGGTGATGAAAAATTTCAACCGTTGCCATAGCGAATAACAATTTAAAACGAAACGTGATGTCTTTTTAATGGGGGGAAAGTTCTCGAAATGTTGCGTCTAAAACAAAACTGAAAAATGAGAGAATAAAGAGAATAAAAAGAATAAAGAGAATAGTTTGGGTCGTTTGCTTATTAATTTTTCTAGTATTTTTAGAGTTTTACTTCCTGGTTGGACATGAGCAGCAACTGTCACCTAGCAACCAAAATGTAAACAAGAGAGATTATGGGTAAATCGGATCACTACTACTACTATTACTGCTACTGCTACTGCTACTACTGCTACTACTACTACTACACTACTACTGCTACTATTGCTACTAGTACTGTAGTACTGCTATTACTAATACTACTATTACTACTGCTACTGCTGCTACTACTATTACTACTTCTGTACTACTACTACTACTACTACTAATGTTACTAATTACTGCTACTATTGCTACTACTACTACTACTACTACTACTACTACTACTACTACTAACTTTATGAATACTGCTATGACTACTACTGACTACTACTATACTACTACTACTACTACTAATGTACTACTACTATTGCTACTACTACTACTACTACTACTACTACTACTACTACTACTACTACTACTACTACTACTACTACTACTACTACTACTACTACTACTACTACTACTACTACTACTACTACTACTACTACTACTACTACTACTACTACTACTACTAATGTTATGAATACTGCTACTATTGCTACTACTACTACTACTACTACTACTACTACTACTACTACTACTACTTCTATTATTACTACTACTACTACTACTACTACTACTAATGTTATGAATACTGTTACTATTGCTACTACTACTACTACTACTACTACTACTACTACTACTACTACTACTACTACTACTACTACTACTACTACTACTACTAATGTTATGAATACTACTATACTACTACTATACTACTACTACTACTACTACTACTACTTACTACTATTACTACTACTACTACTAATGTTATGAATACTGCTACTATTACTACTACTACTACTACTACTACTACTTACTACTACTACTACTACTATTACTTCTATTACTACTACTACTACTACTACTTACTACTACTACTACTACTACTACTACTACTACTATCCTTCAATTTCAACTATCATAAGAAGAATGTGTGATTACTAAATCTACTTCTGAGATCTCCAAAATCACCTCTAGTACTTTTACTGCTACTGCTACTAAAACTAACTCCTGTACAGTATTTGTTAGTTTTGCTCTTTAGGATCAGTTCACTGTGAAATCTGAGCTGAAGAGACGGTTCAGAATCATCCACATGTTCATATTTCTCGGGCTCGTCTGTAGGGGGCACTGTGGCTCCAGGTTTTCCAGGGGAAGTGACTACAGTAAACACTAAATCCCACTGATGTCAGAAAAAAAAACAAAAAACGTAGGATTTTCACCACTTTTTAAAATGCTACTTTAAATTCCATTGTCTAATTTTGAAATCAGTGTCGTTTTGGGTTGGGATTTATCACTTGTTTTGATTCTGGGTGGGGTTTGTATGTTCTCCCTGTGTCTGGGTGCTCTGCTTTCACCCATCAACATAAACTCTGCTGATCCAGACAGACACACTGAAGAGTGGGTCAAATGCAGGTTTAATACAAAAGACAGTGAAGGATGAGACAAATACAGTCCCACTTTAGTCTTAGAAGTGTGAGTAGTAGTAGTAGTAATAGTAGTAATAGTAGTAGAAATAGTAGTAGTAGTAATAGTAGTAGTAGTAGTAGTAGTAGTAGTAGCAGTAGCAGTAGTAGTAGTACAGCAGCAGTAGCAGTAGTAGTAGTAGTAGCAGTAGTAGTAATAGTAGTAGCAGCAGCAGTAGTAGTAGTAGTAGTAAGTAGTAGTAGTAGTAGTAGCAGTAGTAGTAGTAGTAGTAGTAGTAGTAGTAGCAGTAGTAGTAGTAGTAGTAGTAGTAGCAGTAGTAGTAGTAGTAGTAGTAGCAGCAGTAGTAGTAGTAGTAGTAGT